TTTTCTCCTATCAGCTGAACCTGAGAAAACCTTCACTGAAACAGGTGTGTTTCCCTGACCATGTTTAATTTTGAAATACACCACTGTCTTCCATTTTAAACAAAACACTGATCAGCTCTATGTAAGGCCAGTGGTCTTTGTTTTCCAGCAATATTGACTATATTTACTTCTTGCCTTGAACTATTTATGTTGAAAAATCCTTAATTTCAGTGCTCAAAAATATTTCCATTCCATTAATAATCCTTCCGTTTACTCCAAGCATATGCATGTGGAGTACGTACAGGAAACAGAATTACTGAGGATTTGCCAAAAAGCCATGCAGAATAGCTGGAAGGTAAAAGTAATTTACTTCAGGCATTCCTTGCACTGAGCACTTTTGTTTAATGATATAAACCCTGCAGACAGATTAAATCCATCACAAAAAAATTAACAATATGCATTAAACTGCATCCAATAAGTAACAGTAAAAGTTGAAAAGGCCAGGTCTTCATGGACAGATTTCATAGAAAACTAGAACTTCTGGCTTCAGATAGAATATATATTTAGAATATTTGTGCAAGAAGTGAATATATACAACCAACATACTCTGTTATATTAACTGTAGTCACAATTGGTTTCTTTTTTACATAAATGTAGAGGTGTACCAGGAAGACATATTTCTGACTGACATTTCTTTCACTGTAATATGGGAAAATATTATCAAATCCTTCCGGCTGCTATAGATACACAATTTCTGGCACAGCTAAAAATGTGTCAGGAATAAGAATTATTGTGTTTTTGTAAAAATTTCATTTTAATGACAAGTTCATTATTGGACTTTTGGTGGGAGAGCTAAGGAACACGTGAGCTTTATTTCTAGGAAATGCTGAAAGGCACATAAAAATTTGAATATATGATATGTTCAAAAAATCAGATTCTGAGTATTCTGCAGGTTACTTTACATTAAAATTAGCAGCTGCTTGCCTGTTGGCATTATGGAAAAACATTTCACATATCTGTAAAGGGATGATGCTCAAGCATGAACAGACATTTGTTCATTCAAGTGATATATTTGCCTCTCACATCTGCTGAAACAACTGAGTGTGCACTTACTCTGTTGTTTACTGAGATACTGAGGCACACACATTCACATCAAAAAGTTACTTGCAAATGGTAAAAGGAGAAAAAAATCAATCTACCTGAAAACATGTACATTTAGTGAAAGTAAGTACACCACCTTCAGTTACTGAATTTATGTTAATAAATAATATGTGTAGCTAGCTGGGTCACTTTAATAGTTCTCATTGGTTTTGGGATTTCTAATAGTTAGGGTAAATTTCCAAAATAATTGCCACAGAAGGCATAGAATCACATGCAAAAACCCTACCAGTTCCAGAGTGAAGCAGCAAACATCCATGTCTATCAGACATACAGTACAACTCGACTCGCTGGATAAATGAACATTATATGGATAAATGAGCATTATATGGATAAATGAGCATTATATGCCCATAAAACAACATGGCACATTTCATAAAGCTACAACTTTGCACCATAAATGACAGACACATTTTTACACCTGCAGAGACGTAAGCAATGAATAATTCACTTAGAAGTGAAGTGCACAACCTAAGAATTATTGCCTTGCCTAAACCATCCTGGTATTACTTGGAAAGGGAGGGGGCACAGACCCCATTCATGCATATAAAACCATTTTTTCCAGAAACAGATTGGCTTGAGAATTTTCAAATATTTAACTTTGTTTGTGAACATTTTTTCTTCAACAGTATTCTCTAGAAATACAGTTTTGAAATGATACTTTGCTCAAACTCCCAATAAAAAAAATTGGTGTCCTGCCAACTTGAAAATTACCCCCTTCAATACAGGTTTTTCTCCTCAAAGTCATTGTTTATGTATTATATAAATATCATTTGACATTTCTGTTTCATCTCCCCTTATCACAGTGCTTCTAGCAATTATTCGATGGAATAGGTGGGCTCAGATTGAAATCTAATGGATTGAGAACAACAAGAATGCTGCCAGTGGAAAAACTCCCAGCAACTGAACTGAACACATATTTGGAAATGTGAATAAACCTTTCTCAGAAATAAATTCATGTGACAGATGTGCAAATGTGTAATTGAAGTAGTGTGGTTTTGGTATATGCTACTGATAATTTCTATGAAAACACCTCAATCTCCTTCCACAGACTTCATCAATGGCATTCTGTGGTCCAAGCTGGCTGGGTGCAGCCTTCCCTTTCCAGGCATTACCATGGAACTGTCTCTACACCTTCTACAAGACCAAGTCTTCTCCTGGACTTGCACGTGTCTCACCAATAATCTCTGATCAAGCCCACAAAGTTACTCACAAAATTTAGGTTAAGGTCAGGATTAACTGCTTGAAAGCTCAAGAGACTCTTTTGCAAAATCCTCTCCTGGTATGCTTCAAAAGGTTGAATATTCAGATTTGTGTTTGGCAAAGGTGGCCATAAATAAAAGAACAATAATATCTGAACAGTATTATAAAGCTGTAGCCCAATTCTGCCTGCAAAATTCCAACCAAAACCAACAGTGAGTTCACCTAAATCATGATCAAAAATAAAGTGAAATACAACAACCTCCTTGTGCACTTGATGCAGGTACATCCACGTAGGTAATCCAAATCGAAAGTGTTTAAGCCACAGGTGCTAGAAGAAGATTTTAAAACTTTTTTAGAGATTTTTGGAGACCTGCATATGCTGCATAAATCAAATTACAATGAAAACTACCAATCACTGGAAAATAATTTTGGAGTTCTAGAATTGCTCAGCGTTAAGAATGGTTTTTAGCGCTCTCTGTGTTTTTTAAACCCATTGAAACAATAAAGAGAAAATCCTGTTAAAACTTCATAAGCAAAGTTGCAGCATTGGTTGATCTAAAATACATAGAAACTACTTTTTTCTCCAAGCATTTTCATTAGTCCACATAGCTGCTGTTGGTTCACTCTGTCAGTTAAAAAGGCCAAGCTTTGGAAAGCTACAACACATAAATAAATGATGGTTTGCTATGTTTCTACCAGATTTCAAAGTGCTTTCAAATGGAGACAAGACCTTTTCCTTCTCTCCAGTATTAAGGCTCTTATAAAAAGTAAAGTTCAACTAAAAGACACTTGGGCTTGCTTTATCAAATACACCACTTAATATGTTTTAATCATGAACACTTTAAGACCCTAGCTGTGCAATTCTAGCTTTATAAATGTGTTCTAGTAACTTACAAGATTACTGTATTACAAGACGGGGATCTTAATATACTAAAATGTGAAATACTCAATAGTTGGTGACAGTGTATTTCTGTTAAGTTTAGTTTCATTAAAAGCACAGGGATTAGGACACTGACTGGGAAATTAAAACCAAGCTACCAATACTACAGAAAGTAGCCTTGCTGTTACTTCCATTAAATCAGAACCAGTAATCTAGAGAAATAAAATCAAATATTCTTTTCCCATTGAGTTTCCAGATCTCTTTTCCACCCAGAATTTATAAGTTTAATTATTATGACTAAATCAGACCCTCAGGAGACAAAACTGCTCTCCATTCTCACCAGAGTCAAAAGGTTCTTCAAGAACTCATTACTCCAGACATTACTCAAGCTGCCTGGGACACTTAACCCTTCCAAGAACCACAAAAATGCAGTTTAAAAAATTGTATTTCATCCCAAAACAACCTACAGAAAATTCAAAACCTAAAGGCCTGATCTTACAACCCTTCACAACCAGAAAATCACACTGACATGGTTTTACCACTGTCATTAGTTATATTTGCAGAGGCCCCACTCCAGCAAACACATGCATGCCTCAATCCTGGCAAATCAGCACCCAGATTTGGCACCAGCACAACCTGTATTCAGCTGAACTCCTGGAAAAGCATGTTTTAAAAGGAAAAGGCTTTGTTTAGTGCCAATATAATTTAAAACATACATTTGAAGGCAGAAATCAGTATGCTGTGTAATTTTGATTTATATACTTTTATATGGCAAGGTAGAACTTTCTTTGATTTCTCTGATTAAACCTCACCAGTTTTGTAAAATCCCTCACTTACTGAAATTATTATGAAGAATTTGGAGCAGGAAATTCAGAAAGCAGGCTCCTGCACTGATACTGTTTAATTAAACTGTCAAAAGGAATACAAATGAAGGTGTTTCTCATGATGCAGACTGGAATTACGGATTCAGCTCATGTCGTCTCTCGTTTTTTTGGTGCAATTCCACGACTTGCCTGCTGACCTGAACACAAGCAGCTCTGTGGGACCAATCCTACTGAAACAAACACCAGATCCTAACAAACTTTTCCACCAGCGTACCACACGAATTCTAAACCAAAACACTTTCTTTTTAAAATCTCTCAGTGAGTTATGTTTTAAATAGGATGTGGTGCTATCTTTCTGCTTTCTAACTATGATTAAAAACCTGAAACAGGGTTCAAAAGTAAAAAAAAAAAAAAATAAAAGAAATAAATCTTTCCTTTAAATCTGATACTTACACTGCACAATGAAACACAGCTACGCCTTGGGGCATCCATACTTTTGTTTTTTTGGGTTCAAAACGAATCTGTCCCTCAGCCTGCACCATCAGGCCCTTGACCCCGCGGGACAATGGACGCGGGCGGTCAGCGAGGCGCTGAGGGCCGATCCAGCCGGAGCCGAGCCGGGCTTGGCTTGAGCAGGATTAGGCAAATAGGAGGGAGGGATGCCCTGCAGCAGTGCCTTCCGTGGAACCTGCTGAGGTGACAGCAGCTCAGCCTGACCTCCGGGGCCGGGAGGATGTGCACTCACCTGCGGATCCCGGTCCTGACCAGCAAATCCCGCACATTCCCGGCCCCTGGCACCGGAGCCCGGCCGGCAGCCTCTCGCTGCTTTGGTGGAAGCCACAGTGCCCGGGACACTGAGGGGGAACCCGCGCCCGGCCTCCCTGCCCACACCCCGTGAGCGCCCGGGAGGCGAGCCAGGGTTCCCCCCGGCCCCGGTGGTGACACAGAAAGCACAGATTTACCCCTCTGTAAACAGAACTCGGGAAAACTCCTGCGGGCGGCTGGCGGGGCAGGCGCTGAGGGGAGCGCGCCGAGCCGCCCCGGAAGGGTCCCCCGGCCCTGCGCGGGCTCCGCGCTGCCCCGTGTCAGATGAAGTGGATCCAGGCAGAGCTGTCGGGGTCCTGCGGGGGCCCTGCGACGGGCGGGACGCGCTGCCGGCCCCGCAGCCGGTAGTTCTTGCCCTCGTTGTTGTCCCAGTACTCGGCGCCGGCGACGCGGTAGCGGACGGCGAACTCCAGCGCGGTCTCGGCGGCGGAGGCGGCGGCGCCCAGGGGCAGCATGAAGGAGAAGCGGTCGGTGATGCCGTCGGCCGGCGCGGGCGGCTGGTACGTGGCGGCAGCCTCGGCGCAGCTGGCCCAGCCATTGAGCGTGTAGCGCACCGACACCACCTTCTCGTAGGCGAGGTTGAGGACGCGCACGGCCCCGCGCAGCCCCGCCGGCTCTGCCCGCACCCACTCCAGCCTCACCTTGTGCTGCCGCACCCGCTCCGCGAAGCCGGGGCTGGCGCCGGGCTGCGGCGGGAACAGCGGCTCCAGCAGCGGCGGCGGCGGCCCGAACAGCACCGGCTCCAGGTCGCCCAGCGCCGGCGGCTTCCTGGTCTTGAGGAGGTCGGCGGGACGCGGCGTCGGCGGCGCGGGCAGCGGCACCCGCGGCAGGTCGGCCTCGCAGAAGAGGTGCACGGAGGTGAGCTCCAGCCCCAGGGAGTCGGCGAACCGCACGGTCTTGCGGCGAGACGGGCTCTGCTGCAGCGCGGGGCGCAGGCTACGGTCGCCGGGCGTGGGCAGCGACTTGGCGCGGCGGCGCTGCGTGGGGCTGGGGGGTACCGCGGGCAGCGTGGGCTCCCGGCCGCGGCTCGGCGGCGGCTTCTCGCCCGCCGCTTCCCGCACCACGGGCGTGGGCGCGGCGTCGCCGTCGGGGCTGCAGCCCGCCCTGCATTGCTCGGCCAGGCTGCCATAGAGGCAGGCGCTGCAGCTGAAGTTACGCGGCAGGTAGAGCCGGGGTGGCGGCCCGGGCACCGAGCTGTGCAGCGAACCCGCCTTATCCATGGGGTGCCGGCGGGAGCGGCGGCGGTGCCGGCGGCTGGCGCGGCACCCGGGACTCCTCCTCTTGAACCGCGGCGTGCGGATGGCAAGGCGGCTTTAGCGCCCGGCCCGCGGGCTCTGTCTCTCGCCCGGACCCCGCGGGATGCCGTCGGCGCTGTCCAGGTCGCGGCCGGCCCCGGGGGATGCCGGTGGGTTCATGTGTGCGGGGGCGGCGGCGGGACCGCGGCGCTCTGGCTGCCGCCGCTGGTGACGTGCCGCGGTCAGGCAGCGACACACGCCCCGAGCCATCCTTCCTTCCCCATGGCTCCCACCCGCCCCAGTGCCCGCCTCGCTGTCGGCCCCGCCACGGTCCCCAGCTAAACCCCTCGGCTCCCCCTTCCCGCTCTCCTCGGTACCGCCGCTACGCCGTCCCTCTCCTCCTCCTCCTCCTCTCCTCGCTCTGTTCTGGGTCTTTCCTCGAGGATCTCATCCAAAAAGAGGAGGCGGCAGGGATTCCCCAGTGGAAGCATTAAAATTCATAGCGGTGCTCTCGGCTCGTCCGATCCCGTTACAGAAATAGCTGCGAGAGGAAGAGGCAAAGCCGGGCTTGGGAAGATTACACGGGCCGATAAGAAACAGCTGGCTTGCAAGTTGGATCTCGCAGTGTACATTTAAAGGAAGAAATCCAGTTGATCTGCTGTAATGCGTTTACAGTACATCTGCCGAATAAAATACACCTGCCGCAGTCCTGCCACGCGTCTTCGTCATGGTAAAAAAAGCTCTGGCCGAAACAGGGGGGGATGACTTTGTGAAACATAAACCGCCGCCTCTTGTCAGAAGAGCATCTGGAAATTGCTGAGCTATATTCAAATAAATTACATTATAATGACAGTCTCTGATGTAGCCGGTCCAAGGAGCTAAACCACCACTTTAGTAAGCCGCTTCATTCCAGACTTTCCGTAATCTGGGACTCATTTTTAATTAGTAAATGGCATTAAAAACAATGATCCTACCATCCTGCCAGAGCTTGAGCCTGAACTGTGTTGACATGTGATTCTGATTTAGCTTCTGAGCAGGAGCTTTTTACACCTCTAGCATTTTATCTGCAGCACTTGGTGTTCCTTTGACAGTGGAAATGCGGCTGATAAGATTAAGAATAGGACAAGTAAACCTGATAAGGACTAAGAGAAAAAAAAAAAAAAAAAGAAAAAAAAAGCCACCAGAACACAGGGAAAAGTTACCCACTGTCTCATATTAGAACAATCAGCTTTAATTCCTTTACTAATAAGTATGAAAATAATTCCTAGATTATTACTGCTGGCTTCCAAATCTTATTAATGACAGATGATTCATTAGTAGAGAAAATTATGCCCATCGGTATTAAATTTGACACCGTTATATTTCATTGTGCAACTCTCTCACATTTGCAGCCTGATTACAGGTCTTGAAAAATCAAATAGTAACAACATAAATAAGTACATCTGAATTCATTAGCCCAAAATCTTTAAATTGTCTCACTTGTCCATTAACGCACACCATGGGAAAGATTTTTTTTTTTTTTTTTGAGGTCTCTTTCCTGTCTCCCTCACAGAAATGAGTATTTCAGTAAAAGAACATGAACTCATGTCTGGTTTTTGTCTACTCATGTTAAAATGGGGACAAGAACAGACTCAAATAATTCTTCAAACAGGTTTTAAGGCTACATCCTTTTGAATTAATTTTTCCATAATTTCTCTCTCATAATGAACATTTTCTAATGAACTAACACTTGGTTTTACTGACGTTCATTTCACTTAAAATCAAGTGGAGAACTTTATTTTTTACATCAATATGCAAAGTCTTTATATTTTTAAACCACTGCGAAAGTATCAACACTAATAAGCTAAATGGGTTTAAACCAAATTACCCATTCAGTCAGGTGTGGATGTTTTTGTGTTATGCCTGGGAACACAATTTTGGAGTAATTTAGCTTCTGCTGTACTTTACACAACTAGGGTGCCTCTGTAAAGTTGCACTTCCCCGCTTCTGGTAATGTTAGTTGCCCAACTTCTCATCATAAACTTGTGTAATACTATTGCTTTTTGGCTTTCTCAAGTTTCCTCTTTCCTTCCACAACCATGGTATTTCATGGAACCAAAAACCCCAACTCCCCTCTCTGGTGATTGCAGGTGAGGTAGTTCATGTAACTGAGTTGAAAATACAGATTCCTCCAAACTAGTAAGCAAAAAAAGCATAAAACCTGAGAAATCGCTGTGAAAGTAAAGGGAAAAAACCCCAAGCCAACACAATAAGCTTTGGACTAGCCAGGTCAAGGCAGCACGAGATGCAGGGGCACTTCAGCCTTGTCTCAAGCACTGTCACTGTGTAAACACCACCAGAATTCTCACTATGGTATTTCTCACTTTCTTCTCCTAGTCCAAACATTCCCAGCAAGCCTCATGGAATCTGAGGATGCTGCTGCTTTCTTTTTACTCTTGCTCACTTGCCAAGTGTGCTGTGGGGACTCTCACCCACGCCTTTCACTTCTGAGGGTGTCCTTACTATCAGGCTGCCCCCTCCGATGAATTTTAAGACAGATGCAGTAAATGAAATCTTGAGCACTGAAATTTAACAAATACGCACACAGACATTCCCTCAAATAGCCTGAAGCTTTCTGCATCCTTCTGTGATGTGGAAACTGTGGTTTGAGTTAAAGATGGGAAGCATCAGGCACCGTTTGTAAAAGGAAATTTAAAAAGAAATTTTGGGTTTGCCTACTATAAATATTTGTACACAGCAAATGCTGAAATCCTTAGTGCAAGTAAGCAGTACCACACACAGAAACCATGGTTTAATGTATGCAGTAGTAGGCAGCTATCCACCACCTCCTCTAGATCTTAATTTAGTCCACAAAATTTTGAAAACTGAAGTTTCAAAGCCTAATCTATCTCTGCTTTTATAGCACTATGGTAAGGACATTTTCCAAAACTCTTTTCTAAATAATACTGTCAAAACCAAGCTGATACAGAAAGCATTAGTACTGCCCTAGCTACCCCCTTTAAAGAAAAATATTATCTTTTTGCTGGAAAGTAGTATTATTATGACAAGATAATTTTGAAGGTGCCAGCACAATGGAGACAGCATCCTGTAAATTCTAGAGCTCTGCAGGTTTGCTCTATTATAGGGCAAGAAGAACAGAAAGTCTTACATTGCAATTAATGTTGACAGCCTTAGGAAATGGTGCTCAGGCATTATTTTCATTCCTCCAGATTCCACTCCCTCTGCAGATTTAAATAGCATGGTCACAGGATAAAGGTTTGTCCTAATTAACATTGTCCTAATAACATTTTGTTGACCTGTCTCTGCATCTTCCAGATGATGTCAAAATTTTTAAAGACAGCCTCTTGTTTGCCTGTGTGAGCTGAGTGCCCCTGACATTTCTGCCATGCCAAAGTGCATTTAAAATCCATCTGATGCCTGAGAATTTCCAGCTAAATGAACAGAGATGTTTGGTCCCGTTTTGTTAAAAGATTTCCAAAGAAAGAGACAGAACTGTAGCAGAAAGTGAATGGGGAGCTTTCTTCTGTTGCATTTATTGATTGTGTGGAGTCCAGGTAATCGAGGAGAAAGCAAACACCGGCGCTGGGGAGCATTAGGCAGAACCTCGATGGAACCATTAATAGGGCAGAGTGTCTGAGTGCTGGGGCTTATCCAAAGTGGCCCCTGTCACATGTCCACTTTAACTTTCCAGAACAGGTTTATATTTAGCAGGCAGATAAAATGGATGTAAAGGCGAAGTGCATTACGGTTACAGCAGCTTTGGAGATGAAGTTGTGACTCAGTACATGAACTGTAAAGGTCAACTTCTACTCTCATTTGTGCAGCTCCTCTGAAGCTGATGAACTATGTAGGTGTTACATGAGAATATCACCCCCAAATTTAATAATCTTATGTGACTACATGAATGTGACAATGGTATTTACACTGGCACTCTGTAAGCCTTGCGTGATACAGTTGTTCTGCATGCTTCTACTTTAAAAATACCTTCCCACGCTGATGATTAACTCAGACTTTATTTATTTCCCCAAGAAAATATCTTAGTCACATCTCAAGAATTGCCAGATTAGAATGAGATAGTGTGCTTGAGGTATATAAAATAACAATGGTATTGATTTCTGTGTCAAATACTATCTTTACCAACCAGGTTATACAGTCTTTATCTATTAAGGTGAAAATTCTTTGATTCATAGAGTTATATCAAGAATTTTTGATGGCAAATCAGTGAGTAAATTCCAGTAGGCTGAAAGTTCTGCTAAACAAGACATGTGACACTTGGAAAGGGTGTTTTGTGCTTGGGTATTGGTTTTTTAGGGTTTTGGTTTTGTTTTGTTGTTGCCTTTTTTTTTTTTTTTTTTTTTTTAAGTATTTGGACCCAAATGAAGACATGGCATTAATAAGAAAATAGAATTTTAAGAGTTTACCTATGTTCATGACCTTGTGAATCTGCCTTAGAGTATGATGATGCTCACACACAATTTTATTAATTAAGCATTAACTGTCTGCTGACTTTTGAGTGGCTAAAGAATTTTGGAGAGGAAAAAAAAAAAAAAAAAAAAAAAAGAAAAAAAAAGCAGCCCAGTTAAGACAGTGAAAAAGAGCAAAATACCCTAACATGAACATCACATTTCTGGAGAAAACGATAAAGAGCATTTGTTTTTCTTATAGAAATAATTCTACACTTTTAGAAGGACTGAATTTTCTTAACAAGGATTAAGTCACAGAAAGCAGGTTTGGGACTCTTTCAGTCCTAGAACTTTTAACACAACTCTTCATGTAAGTACCTGAAAAAATGGACTTAGGGATGTTCCCAAATCCCATTTTCTAGTAAGAGTAATTGTGACTCAGTCTTCATATCATGGTGTAAAATAACCACAGGGCTTTCTATCAACTGCAAATGGTCTCCATAGCACTAGTTAATGACTTTATAGAACCAAAAATAAGCTTGTTGCATACTTCATTTTTTTTCACAGTTAGAAGAAAATAGACCATTTTCTTCCCTTCTTTGTACCTTTTTACTGGAAAGTAGTATTTGTATAGTAAAATATTTTCTAATCTGTTTTCCATATTTAGATACAAAATACAAACTCTAAAAAAACAAGCAACTTTCAAAAATAGCCCCAAGATAAAGAAATTCATATATACTTGTTTCAGTTGCATTTTCCACTAAATAGAAAATGCAATACATATATATATGCACACCTATATCTAGCTGTGAAACTAGAAACATTTTTCAAAGTCCAGAAGGAGACAATTTCTTCCATTCAGACAACTGAAAATAATGCTGGTTCAGTAAGAAAGCTGGAAAATGAATGCATTATCAATTAAAAGTAAAGCCAAAGCTGTTATACTAATTTTAAGTTGCAGCCATTCAGTTTAAGTTGCAATCAGTTTTTTAGGATTATAGTAAAAAAAAAAAAGTTGCAGGGAAAACGATAAACATTATTTCCACGTTTTCCAGTGTTTCATACCAGGTAAGAGTTTTGCTGTGTTTTTTGAAACTGTCAAATCAGATTAGACAAAGGTTTTACTACAGCCTGATACAAGAACACAGACTACACTCACGGGTTATTCTGCAGAAGGCCACAAAAGCTGCTGATTAAAGACCTAGACCATAAAGAAACAAATACACAACACTTCAGCCATCATAAACTTAATCAAGTTATGTGCCTTTGAATACACTGGGTTCTTCCAGCAGAGGAAACAGCAGCTTCTTGTTTTTGTGTTAAGTTCTCTCAAGAACAACACCATTCCTGTTCAAGGAAAGGAAATAAAGTTACAGGCTGGATCAGCCAGAATTGCTTCCTCCATTCAAGGTGCCAAAACAAAACAAGTGAATTGTTGACAACAATGTGAAAATGCAATGATGGAACACCTGAAAGTTAAATCAACATTTTTCTCCTATTGTTTTAGGTGCAAACATCCAAAGGACTGATTTCACTGTCAAATCCTGGAGCAAGAAAGAAAAACAGCCTCTAACTGCATTGTTCTGATGGAAAACAATCAGCTCGCCAGCATGAAATTTCTTCAAGCGAAAGAAATTCAGAAACTAAACCCATACCAGTCAGGAACAATTTCACTGCCAGCAAAATTCTGAGCAACAGCAGGCAAGAAAGTAGTTTGAAAATACATGGGGCTCCCCTATCTCTGAACAGACACTTTCTTAGTCTGTTCTCAATCAAGAGTTAAGTTTTTCCTGCCTTTTGGACTGTCTTCCATTTGTGAAAGTTTTCAGATGTGCAGTCTGTCAAAATATCTGACTTCTGCCTATAAGTCAAATCCATTCTAAATGATGAAAAGCCTCAAATAACAGCCTAATCTATAGCAGAAATATCCCTATGATGGGAATAGGGCTGTTATTCCTGGGATCTTACACATCTGACTGTTGCATGATTTTAAACACTCTGAACAGGAATTTAGTTTCTAGATATTTATGACATCTTCCCCACTGTAAATACCTCTTTCCCTCTGGAAATACCTGAATGCTGCTGCTTGCAAACGCTTACCTCAGACTGTGATGGGGCTGAACTCAGCAGCCTCCTGCTGTCCATCAGAGAATGCTTCATTCATGATTACAGCTGAGGGAACTGTGCAGAAGAACTTTTAAGTCACGAGGCTTCTGCTCATTCACCTCCTCTGAATCACACATGCAAGACTTACAGGTAAAAAGAAAAATCAGAATTTTATATCCTCCAACTAACAGAAAATGGTGGGATCATCACTAAGCATGGGAGCTGTGCAGGAAGAAAAAGGACAGAGTATGAGACATATCCAAACCAAGCTTCTCTAGGCTTTGGGGTTTTTTTCAATATTTACAGTAGCAAAAATATTTTCTCAGTTAAATAAAATACATAACAAAATAATAAGGCATTAGAATAGAATCATGATACTGCAGGTGAATTTCTACTGGATGTTACAACACGAGAGATCTTAAACCACCCTACAGGAGGGGTGGATGGTAAGGTTGAGGAAGAAGGCAAAGGAGCCCTGTCCTGAGAGTGTTGTAGAGGTGAGACATCTGCCACAGAGCTGAAACTGCTGAGGTTCATGCACTGCATGTACAAGGTAAAGATTACATTTTGAGCTGATGAAAGGTTTGAGACAGAGAACCTTTTTGCACCTCCAGAGATCAAGAACAGACATTGTAAGATACGTTTCAGGAGCAATGGGTGGTACTTGCCAATAGGCACTGAATCCCCCACCCAGGCCTCTGCAGGCAGAGGTCATGGCCATTAAAACAGAAGGCAAAAAATGATTGAAGTTAACTTTATTCCAAAATATGTATAATTTACAGGACTGAATAAGTGCTTCATTTGTGAACAAAACATTTCAACTTGTGAATAACTTACTAGTAGCTTTGTGTAACACTTCAGTTTCCAACAGAGGAAAATATGAAACAGTATTTTGGCACAAGGTTTTTTATGCATGCAATAATGTAATTACAAGTTTCACAGTTACTAGGACAACATTCCTTCTTTGGGATTGTCACTTGTAAAATAGGTCTAAGAAATGAATGCTTGATTTTGTCTGGTCACTGCAAGTTTACTGGCTTAAATAGCAAGAATTAAACATGAAGATCCTTTGAAATCCAGATTTGTCCACTAAATAAAAAAATCCCACAGTAATGAAAACAAAAATATTTTAAGGATATTTCTCAGCCTTGCTGAGATGAACTCACACACGCTTTGGGAAAGACTCACCCATGAGATTTATTACTCATTCATTCCAAATAATTACAAACTTAAATGAGATTGTAATCAGGTGTTGAAGTGTTTAAGCTGTAAAGATATGGCCATCTTTCATACCTAGCTTTATCACAGATGCACTTGCAAAGGTCTGTAGATAGAGGTACTGTCAATCTAGCTCTGCATGCAGGTGCTTGAAGCATGTAAAGCACTGGATGTTGTGAAATGTAGAGCTGAGATCACCACAAGTCATCTATTATATTCCACTGCTAGTTGTTGCAGGTATTGTAAAGCCAGCATATGAAAAATGGTCACAAGTAAAGGGACTTCTGTTATTTAACTCAGCAGTTCCTTGAGGCGTTTCCACCATTTCAGGCTGTATGGTTACATTTTCAGTGAAGAGTCACACGCACAAACACAAACATTCCCTCACCCTGACTGTGGGGCTGAGTGCTGAGTTCTGTTCATTGCATAGCAATGGCACTTGAAACAAGAGAATTCAGTCACGTCCTAAGCAGCAAGTCCTTCTTGCACATATTTAAATTCACATCAACTCTTAAAAAATAACAACAAAAGAAACAGGAGATGCATGATTGCACCATACACTGGTTTGCTACCATTAAACAGCTGTATCCTCACAGTGTTCCTGTTATCAATGGCAGCCTGGTTACTGGAGGCCCATCCTACCAGGACACAAGCATAGCAGCACCTTAAACCAAACAGGAATGAAAAAGCTTGCAAGGCCCAGAACGTTACCAACAGTTTGGTGTGAATGCAACATTAAGATCATGTTTAAAAAATCAGCACATGTCAGAAATATATTAAAGCAAAGGAAGCTGTCTGCCTTAATGATAAAGGCAAGCACATTTGGTTCACCTCAGAGTTGCCATTTCAGGAACATGTTCTTTTGCAAGCCGAGCACTCTATGTTGATTCAGTATCAGTTCTATTACATTTAAAAGGCTTTTAAACCCCCTCTAGCCCCCAGTCCTGCCAACTCTTACATTTCTACCCAGCCTCACCAAACAAATCAATTCACATCCTAGCAGCATTAAGGATTTAGAATACTGGAAGGTAGCCATTGTTCTTTGTTCTGTTGCCCCTACACGACTGGGGTCCATATGACTAATAGGGAAATTCAGCCTCTTGTTTCCAACAGAAATAACTGTGTATTGTGCCTTGAAATAAAAATTTCTAAGGAGTTAGTTACATACATTAAGTTACAGACACTGAATCAAGTTGTTCAAAACGAAATGAGGTTTCACAAGGTTTCTTTTGCAGCTGTTTAATTTACAGCTGCAAGTATATATACATTTTTTAATGTTTTCATATCCTTTGGAAATGAGAATTTTCTAAACATAAGCAGCTTTGCACAACTAAGAATATGTAGCATTAGCAAACTCGGACTTAAAACTACCAATTTTTCTAGACCAAGACAAAAAGTTTGGGGGAGGACTCCCTCCCTACCCACAGCAGAAAGTATTTACAGGTGTACTAGCAGAAATAGATACAAATAAAGCCACAAGAAGAAGAAGCATCTACTGTCAAACTTTTAGCATTCTGACAAACAAATATGGAAGGCAACAAGACAGATTTTCATTTTTCAGCTTAGTTGTGCTTATGTTCTCACAGAATGCAAGTCCCAAATCTGCTGTTTCCTTTGTTCGACTCTTTATATATATATTAAAGAAAAGCACAAATGAAACTACAGAAGTGCTAATTCAATTTTATAATAGTGTTACACAGGCATCCAGATCAAGATCCAGCCATCACAGCTTAAGAGAATTAAGCAGGAAACACAAAGGGTAAGTACACATAATATTAGTATCACTTCCAGATAAAAAAATTGTGCCAAGAGGCTACAGAGAATCTGATGTTACTTTCTGTATAGCAGCTCTAATGGCAATAGAGAATACAAAGAGTAAGACAGTAAGTCACTGCTGACCAATACTTACAATACAGTGCCTTGAAAATCAAATCAGAGACAAACTGCAGAAAAAGGGAGATAACACTTTAGTTCTACCTAAAAACAGTTGTCTGAAGTTTATTTTATAACAAAGTAAAAAAATGGAAAATCAACTTTTTCTAAGAATTTGTTTAAATGTGAAGAATTTGGAATATTCAGCAATAGTGTTTCAGATCAGATTTCGTGAAGTTTTCTGTGGGATTCATCAAACTATGAAGTCTGGCTGCAGTCTTCACATTTTCACAAAAGTACTTAATAAATCCAAACTGAGTGACGTATGCCAGAAATACATGATCCAAACCTGTTTTTCACTGTTATGAATAATTTATGGAGAACCAAATTAGTGAAGAAATAAGTTAATTTTGGTCAGAAGGTAATTTTGTCTTTCCTAAGACAGTGCAGACATTTAATGATTTCTTAATACTGCACTTTCAATACATGACTCCATGTTGTAGCACTGTGTTCACCTAATTAAATTCCAAACAGTTTTAAACAAATAGAATGAGTAAAAGAATTATGATTTGCATGTTCTAATAAAACACACAAACCTCAGAAGGACTTTTAATTAAAAAGTGCAATAACTGGGTAATGATTACACTTTAAGATTTCATCCACACAAACTTTTGGGTCTTTTCCTGGCAGTTGCTGATGTTAAGAGCTTTGGCTTACAAAGCTTACTGTAAGCTTTGGCTTACAGTAACATGGCAATTATCACTCCAATTTGTAAAGTACTTTAAACCTCGCTGGTCTCTCTGATGGCTACAATCAACTCCTTCTGTAATTCTGCTCCTCAGCACCCAGATTCCTCCTCTTGCAGAGTAAAGACTCACTTTATAAATTCAGAGGTAATGAACAGCTTCTACAGCTGTGGAAAAATACCCTTTTTCCAAACCAGGTTTCTAGTAACTGCCTCTCTTTCACATGTCAGTACAGACAACTTGTACATGGGAATCACAGAAATCAGTGTATGAAGAAGCATTCCCTGGTATTCCAGCCAGGAGAAGAAAGGAGAAGGAAAAACACTTTAACATGTGAAGTTGCAACATTAGTACAAAGATATTGCAATAGAATAAATTAACCTAATTTTGTTCTTTATCTTATCTCTCAATTTCAAAGTAGGCAGGTAAGTATGACTCAGTCATATCTTCACAACAAACAAAATTACAAGTGAGGCCTTCTTTTTGTAAATATATCCCACCCTTCAGATGAGAACTCTACAGATATTGTGAAACCTGGGGGCATTCCTCATAGCAGAGTTACTTCCTCCTGAAGAACTGCAAGATTCCGTACTGCAGTTTCTTCAGCCAGGCTGGAAGTGTCTGAAATCATACCTAGAAATGTTGAAAAATCAAACAGGCAATACAAATGGGGTTTCAGGAGGAAAATATATGTTTCGGGATTAATCTGAAGAGATTATTTCAGTAAAGACACTCAACACAGCAATACAAAGACTATTAGGAAAAGACAAAAAAAAAAAAAGGTATTGCTCATCTGCAACAAAAACAAGCTGGCTGCAATGGATGAGTAACTTAACTCCCACATCCTTGAATTGAGAATATACAGCACAAAGCATAGGGAGTCTTGAAAACCTAAGGCTTGGACATACATTTGCTGCTGGGCTGTACAGTAAATACTCCTCTAACAATGGAGGAGTAAAGTCTGTTACAGGCCCATGAATTTGACACAGAGAGTTTTCCTTTAAGGTTACAGAAACAAAAAACTGTCCAGTAGAAAACCAGAGGCCCACATTTCACAGATATTATAGTAAGAGATAAAAATTACTTAAGGCCAGATTCCACCATACATTCACAACTGGCTTAATGTAAATGAAAAATACTGCAAACAGTGGCACGAGGGGCAACCTAAACATTAAAAAAAAGGTGCCAAGAGGTCAGATGCTTTTTCTCTGAAAAATTAGTTTGTGTGAATTTGACTATACTCTGGGAAACTGTGAAAGCTGCAGGAAATGAGGGCTGCAGATCAAAGTGCAAAAGCAAGATAGAGCTGTTCTGGAAGGGCTTCTGTGAGCTGATCTCCCAGATCTGCTGTATGGATTTCCAATTGATTTTGGAAGCAGGAAGTCCAAAACCAGAAGTCAAGGTGAGTGTTTTAAGGAATTTAATTGTCCATTTTTAAAGATTTCTCTTAAGGTAGTAAACCACTGTAACATTTCTCAACTCATATCTCAATAAAGCTAGAAGAATTTCAGCAAAACCAAATGATTCCAGTCTCTGAGGCACACACATTGTAACATTTGCATCTTCAAGACAAAAATAATTTAAGCAAATCCCTTCTGAAGACTCTAAAAATGTTAGTCCCATTTATTATACTAGCTAGAAGGACGACATACTAATTTTCCCTACAATTACAAATTCCAAGTTCTCTTCCTACCCTTCAAAGAGCATCAGAGCCACTCAGGGAAAAAAAATACTGCTTTACACACCTTTTTAATAATAAATATTTTCAACAATTCAAGAATCTCTACGTGTCTAGTGTGTTGGACAGGTATTTGGAAAATGTCAGCTTATGCAGGAGAAAGAGCTGTGAAGGCATAAAGTAAAAGAAGACAATACGGCTGATTACGTTCATGCCGGATTTAAAATACAAGCTACTAAAAAAAGTAAACAGAAGTAGCTTACACTAATAGAATCCTCCCCCATAAGTTCAGGGAAGCATCTCAATTGAACAGGTCAGGTTTTGGTCCAGCACATTGGAACCCTGCATGTAAGCCAGGAATAGAGAGAGAGAGATATTGAGAACAACTTTAAAAGTTCTTCCACTTAGATGAAAGCAGTAACAGCTTCATAAAGAAGTCTGAGGAAAAAACATAGGCACCACATAATTTTTAAGGTTCAAATGTACATTAACACGTTACAGCCCCCCCCCCTTCCCCTCTATTTATACACACATAGTTTATGTTAAGTTACATATTCAATAGAGTACCTTCAGCATGAAAAGTCTCTTAGGTCAACTGCTCGTGACAAGTACATTCAATAATGCAAAGTGGATCACTTGGTAAAGCCATCTCTCCCACCCCAATAAGTTAAATTCAAACCACAAGAAACAGTTATATTATGTAGCACTCAGTGGCTGGGCTTGTCAGAGCTCTGGAACAAGGAGCACAGCTCTTCACAGGTCTGTGTTTCTACTGAACTGAACTGGGACTCCATTGTATTCCAGGCTAAGTCAGCCAGAAGGAAGTCATCCATTGCTGTCTGTGTTTCATTGCTGGTAAGGAATAAACTCCCCAGATTCTCAAAGCAGCTATCCATAGTCTGAGTCTCAGCACTACTGAGCTGGACTTTGCTTTCAATATTCTGAGCAGGTGTATTTTTAGTAGCCATATATACTTCTGTCTGGGTTTCTGTATCAGATGAGTCAGTGCTCATCGAGAAACTGGACTGTTTCAGAATACTTCCTAAAGGCAGATGGGTAGTACTGTCCAAAAAGAAATTCAAGTCTGTCTGTGTCTGTGTATCAAACATCTCCAAACCTAAGAAGTTAGAATTGCCTCGGCAGTTATATGATTGAGTGGCACTATCTGAAAATAAGAAATCAGTCTGAGTTTCAATGTCCAGTGACTCCAAAACTGGCTCAGAGTTCAGGGTACCAAGCTCACTCTCTTCAGTCTGAGTTTGGATGTTGGATGCTGAAAAGAACTCTTCAATGTCGAAGTCTATCCCTGTGCTCTGTGACGGACCAGATGGAAGATGTGTGTCAGCATTAGAACTTGTCTCGGACAAAAGGCCACGATTATCCAGTGTCTGGCCAGACATGTTTCCTGAAAAGATGTTTTCCAGATCACTTAGCAGATCCATTGTCTGGGTTTGATTATCTGTTGTATTTTGAGATGGAAGTATATTAGTCTGTGTATTGAAGCTGATAAGGGATTCAGACTTAGCTGTATCCTCATTCAGACTCTTGCAGCTACTTCTTTGTAGCAAGGTTTGATCTATACTTGCAGGCATTAAATTGCTTTCTGGAAGTTCAATGTGAGTAGAAACATTATATGATGAAGGAACATTGTCAAAAATGTCACTGCACATTACAGCCTGGTCCATCTGTACTCTTCCATCAATACAGTCCTGTGTCCCGCTGGTTTGAGTCTCTCTGGAAATGCCACACGTTGGAAAACAGCCCTGACTGAAAGCATCAGTCTGAGCAGCTATGGATGAAGTCAGCTTGGAAGCAGGCAGTAGTGTCTGTGTCTGTACACTGATGGGTAATGAAACCTGGGAACTGAATGACAGATCTGTCTGAGAACAAGAGGACACAGAAGAATTGGGAGTCCAGGCTGGAGCTGGTACAAAGCTCTGTGAGATATAAGATAAGTCAGTCTGTATATTTATTGAAGAAATTTTGCTCTTGTGACAAACATTCCCCAGATCTTGCCCTGTGTTATTTGATGTAACCTTGTCCAGTTCAACTTGTACACCAGTACTTACTGGCTCACAATCACCAGAAGTCATCACTTTTGAAACAGGCATACTGTCTTTAAATACAAGTGTTTCTGCCTCCAGGGCTGGAATCAGGATTCCTATAGACTGAGGCAATAAATGTACAGTACTTACAAGTGAACCTTGATTATCAACAGCCACTACAGCAGGTTTGACAGAAGAGTCTGTTGCAGATACATACACAGGCAAGTGAGCAACCTGCATCACTGGAAGTTTAACCAAAGCCACCTTGGGCTTGGGTAAAAGCATCTTTGGTGCACATTTTGGCTGCATTTGGTTTGTGAAGTTAGAACTGCAGGAGCCTTCAAGAGAGGCTGCTACTTTGACTTCAGAGGACTCCAATTCCTGAGTGCCAGGAGCAGTACTGTGGGTATTGCTGAATGCTTCATTTGCTTTCTCTGCCAACTGCTGATTATGCATGGAGGACTCCATTTTCCTTTTCTTACTAGGAGGATCCCTGTGAACATGAGATCAATAATTTATACTTCTTTCCAACACAGAACATCTGCCTTCCATTCTTTTCAGTTACTGCATTGAAAATACCAACTGAAGTCACAGATGAGGTTGGATATGAGAAGACAATTAATCCAGATTAAAATATAAAAAGACTCCATGAAGTTCAGTTTTGCTAAACGTCATTCCTCGCTCTCCCATTTTAAAAAAGAATAAACACTACCCCTTATGGAAATCTATTTCCAAATGGATGTGCAGGTTAAGATGGTGTCTTCCCTTCTTACATTAAGCACACTGATTTGAAGACTTCTAACGTGTTATTTTGAAGTGTCAAAATAACAGACAAAAATAACAATAAAATAACTCAGACTGAGCATTGAAGGGACGGAGCTCTTAAAATATGTGTACGGGTAATGGTAAGATAAAATTAGCAATTTTTCACACAAAACTTATAATTTTGCAGCAGCTGAATCTCAAAGACAGGCTAGGCCTCAGAAAGTAGATTACCCTTTTTGAAATAGATGGACATATTGAAACTATAAATCTAAACATAGATGGTAAAAAATACATCCACCAACAATTGCAACAATGACTAGACTGTACAAGAAAATAACCTGAACCGCATTCCACATCTCAGTTACCAGCTATAAATATCTCCTAATGATGTCTACTCTCACAGAACTGTAAAAGTAGATACAACAAGAATGACCACCATTTATACCAAGCACTGCAGTGTCATCAGTACTTTTTGTTTTCTATGTAGGGAAACCAGATCTTACTGATTAGATGATCACCACTGCCTTCAACAAAACAGAAACTCCTAAAAGCAACAAAGAAACTGCTAACTGTTTTGCAGCTAAAGCAACATGATCCTATTTCCTATTTAATCAACAGAAAGGAGACAAAAAGGCAGCACATGAGACACAAGGGACTTGGTGATGAACGTATCATTAAGTCACTGCTTCACTTTTACCTGTGTTCTGCAGGAATTTCATGGCCAGTTCTGTAAATGTGGGACAGTAATGCTGTTCTGCTGGCATAAGGGCACCCACAAGTACACTGGAAAGTCTTGCCACAGACCTCTATATGCCGTTTCAAATACCATTCTGTGCCATAGGAGTTACTACATTTATCACATTTGTGCTTCTTTTCGGCATGCATTTTCATAAAGTGCTAGAATACACAAGGGAAAGTAAACATTAGCTTTCAGTGAAGATTAAAAAAAGAAAATCACGGTTAGAGGAGAAAATATCTGCAATTTTTAGTTGCTAAGTAGTGCTGAAGTGTAGCATTAATTATTTTTTTAAAGCATTATTATAAATAAGTTTAAAGAAATCAATAGAGAGAATATGAAGTTTGCAAATCTGCTGATGCTACATGCATCTTAAAAATACAGATAAACATCTACCCATTCTAATGCCATCAAAGGTTTCCTGTGGACATCAGTAAATCTATAGATCAACCTTGCCAAAAGAGCACATTAAGTCTGTGCTGCAATATATGCACACTCCTGAGGATCTACAACTGAGCAAATAATCTCAAATTATACAGGTCAACACAAGAGCAAACACCAGAATTTTTCCTTTTCATTTATGGCACCAAGTGCCAGCCACTCACCTCCTACAGGGTCCCTAGCTCAGCATGGGTAACCAACTGCAGCACAGTGCAGAAACAAGTCTTATATGTTTTCTTAAATAGGTTAACTAGTAAACAAATGCATTTTGATATTAAAGCAGAGAAAAGCTTTTAATCCTTGACCACTTGAAAAAGCAGTTAAAAGCATCAGCCACAGTTTAAACCTTCATCAGTTGCTACCATGACTTCCCCCCCCCCCCCTTCTTTAATCTGTCTCCATTCATTTAATTTGTGGAGAGGGGCTCTGATCTAGTTTAGAAAAACATACTGGCAACTGTCTGATCAAAAGGTTCAAGTCCTCTAACAAAACATGCAAACATGCAAACTCATGAATCACATGTGCACTTGGAGTTGCTGCATACAGTTCTCCAACTTCTGCCTATGTGCTGAGAGGTTATGCTTGTATCTGTATGCAAAAGCACACACTCTTTGGAGTAGAGACAGGACTAAATCAGTGTGAAAATACTTCAGGAAACAGGAATACCTGTTTTACAAGAGAAAATTGGGAAAATGGTCTGTTTGGTCCTCTAGGGCAGCCTTCAATAGGACAGCAGTAGAATTTCTGTGAAGTTTTCAAACCCTTCCTTATTGGAGTATTAAGTTTTCCATCCTGAAAAAGAACCAGTTGAGAAGTTGACAATTCTACAGGTTTGCATATTCAAGACAATATTCAGAATACACATCAACTATGGCTGAGTTTACACATCTTAATGAGTTGGAGGCACTTTCCTATGCGATTTCAAAGTTTAAATGGAGTTTTTACCTTGTGTGGGTACCACTTTGCAAATATCCCACCAAAATTACCAGGTGCAGTTACAACAAGCTCTATGGAGTAGTGGTACTGTATGATTTACTTTTACCACGACACTCCCTGTCCTGTTTCCTGTTATTTGAGCCAAAAAAAATTCCATACAGATACTACCCTAGACTGCTGATTCAAAGTGGTTTTACTTGTTAGTAGCACAGTACGTGAAGCTCCATTAAGATTAGTCAGTGAAACACAACACTTCCTTGATGCTGGAATTCTGTTAGCACTGTTTAGAGTTGTAATAAAAATGAAAAATGCCAAGTATGCTCTGCCACTTAATTTAGATCATAAACCAAATCTCACTTAAGTCTATGAAACAACCGGTATGCTAATTCTGACCCTCCAAACACTAAGTGACCAATCTGTCCAGGCTTTCCATGTGAGCTGTCTTACTGACCCTCACGTGTTCATAGAAGCAAGCAACACAACTTGCTCAAAGAGGACCTCAAGTGTACATATAGGTAGGACATACTAGTGAGACTGTCCAGATTGTTCAACCGCATAGAATCCCGTCCTTCTGAGGACACTGGCATGGAAACCAGACAAGACATGTATCTCTAGACATACCCTAACTGAAAGGGTCTCAGTGGAATCATCAGGCATCTATATCCAAGCAAAAAATTAAAACTATTTAAAATCTGATGCTCAGAGTAGCTGAGAGTCTCCTTCCATCCTGAGACTGAATCGGAGGCCAAACATAGTCCCCAGAGCCAGTTACTGCAGTCCAAGATGGCACCACCAATATATTTTTCAGGGAGGAAAGGGACCATGCTCTGTTTGAACTCTGCACCTGATTTTCCTTAGCATGAGGATAGCGAGCACAGTCAGTAATGGAAGGTTGATTTCACACCAGTCACTCCCTAACTACCTCTTTGGGCAGATCTCCAGCTGGTCATGTTTACACAGGTTACACCAAACACAGAGAATGCACAAAGCACAACAGTCCTCCCAATGTGAAGCAAATAAAATATGTACCTCAGCTGCCAGGGCCCAAAGGGCTTCACTGCTCACACTCCCTCTTCTTACCCACCTGCAGCTACTCACAACCCAACAATGCTGTCCTCAGCCACTCATGCCTTGCTTTTGAAGTCCTCTCATTTAAACCTCAGGAAGCTGGGGAGAACAATGATTTTGTTTTCCCTCAAATCACCTCTTAAACTAAAATAATCTGTAAAATGTAATCCCTTCAAGCAACATTTCAGTTATATTTCCACACACTCATCACTGCTACTTGCTGACATTGGCACAAGTTCATTTTTATTAATGACATACCAGACTCAAACAAGCAACATTTAGAACCTCTTGACCAAAATGGTCACCTGCCATATCAAGAAAACCTGGAATAAGTTTCTAAAAAGGGAGTTTTCATGTAACATTTTTACCTTCTAAGCACCTTATACAGCAGTTTTCCCTGTGGACAGCCCATTCATAAACAGGCCTGTTCTATCTCTGCTGAATCATCACTGTGACTATTGTTGTATCTCCTAGAGCCACTGCCCTAAACAGGAACATGACACAAATCCAGTTGTTCCAGCCCCAATTCCACTTTTTAACCCTGACTTTACACAGAACACTTTCATCACATGTCAAAATTCTCAGGAGAAAAGATCTGCCTTTAAGTCAAAGCTATGCTTGGCCTCTCCCACTGCAGATGATACCAATATGCTGAGTAACTGGCAATTAGAGTTACTTATTCCTAAATAAAAAGTTATTAAGCGTGTTATATTTAACATCACAAACCAACAACTGACAGGGCAATATGGGAAACATGTTCAGCCACTCAACAGGTTAACCTCAGTCAGCTTATTTAAAATGACTGAAATACTAAGGTATAGAATAACAGCAAGTGTTTTTTTTAAAGCTTTAAGCCAGTAAGATGCCTTTTTAACAGCTGGAACATAACCTTCAATGGCAGCGACCACCACACATTACTTGTGACAAGTTGAGACATACTCTACACATATAAGATATTGTATATGAACAGCAATCTCGCTTTGACCTATCCCAAGTCCTCGTGGCTCTAAATGGCTCTAAATGGTTAATCTTGAATCTTCTCAAAGCCTCAAAGCCCACCTGGCCAGTCCTGTTTAAGACATTCTCACAGCTTCCTTCCTTACCTATCTGATTTTATGTCCCATGTTTCTACAACATCCAGCCATGAAAATTACTGGTACATATTGGTCCAATGAACTTCTCCCAGTGCAGACACTTGCACTGCAAGGAATACTGACATGGCTTGTGACACTTCAGAAAGCAGGAATTAACAGTCCTTGCTACAGACTTAGTCAAGGTGAACTTAGTGACGTATTGCTTTCCTGCCCCAGAAAGGCTTACTCCAAAGGATTAATTTTAAATGATGTTGCAGTAGACTGTAGTCAACTATTTAAAACATGGGGGTTTTTGCAGCAGATGCTCAGCCATTGCTTCACTAAACAGGACATGGAGAGAAGTGCATTTATTCTAATGATAACAACCATTGTGATAGTACAGTATTTGAGTAACCTACCCCAAGGGTGTGCTACCCTTTCCAGTTCACACTTAGTAAAGCCTCCCAGTTATCACAATAATCCACAGAATTCTCTTCTTTAACTCTTCTAGCTTCATTTTAAACTACACACATGTAGTTTCCCTTCTTCCCATAAAATAATATAGCCAAAAGACCAAATAATTAAAATTTAAAAATTCAAGTCTATATCCACTGCTCTCGTTTTTTAATTGGCTTATCCTCTGTCAAGGAGCTAAAAAAATTATGTATCAATACTCAATATCTTCTTTGTTAGGCAAAATAAGCCAAATTTTTCTAATTTCCCTCTGTCAGAAACACTTGCCATTCATCACCCTTAGCAGTTATTTTCTACAAATCTTATGGGTTCATTTTAACTTCTTTGAATCAGATTCTTACCCTACAGTACTGACATAGAATATCCCTCTGCCATATTTTAGGATTGTCCTTCTCACAGCAGCTTTACCCTAAATGCACATTCATGTATGACCAGATTATTTTGCAAGTGTTTCCCACCTCAGGTTATTTCTGTTTACAAACCAGAGCTGATCAAACAGTTTGTTATCACTTCACAAGACTAAAACCTGGTACTGCTGCACTTGGCTCTTTTTTTACAGGATAATCTCTATGTAAATGTCTTTCCTTTGCCACTGCAATCCCTTATGGGTTTTGGTATAAAAACATCCTACTGGCGCTACTTTTATTAATGAAAATTAACCAAGTCATCCTCCCTTCTCCTCATGAGTATTGTGTTCTCTTTTTCTCGAATAGCTTCTTACCATCTCATTTGCCAAGTTGCCTCTTCACTAATTTCACATTTCACTAATAAATGCAATCTCCTAAATTATTTTTACCTGGGAAATCAACTACCTCTTAAGAGGGAATGCCAATATTAACATATTTAGTCTCCCTTAAACTTCAATAACATTTTAGTCTTAATTACAATGCCTTTGAAACAAGTCAAGGAGTTTCTGAAAGCCTGCATCCACACACGTTTCAGTATTTATTCCAAGCTATCACCAGATTCAGTAATTAGGTGTATGGAGTATGTTCTAATTCTACAAGGCACTGGTGGCTAACAGCAAGTTGGGTGAGAAAGCAGCATCTCCTCACCCATCATACCCTGAGTTATGTAACCCACCAGCTGCACTGCACGCTCAGAGCATCAGCTCACAACCAAAATGACTCTGCTGACCTGAAAGAACACTTGGAACTTCTGCTGTACCTCCCGCCACATGGAATGTGAGATCTAACACATAACACACAGTAAAGCTGTTAGCACATATAGGAAATGAAATTAAAACATCCCAGAGACACAAGACAGCAAGTACACTTGACACTATTTCCTTTTGTTCCTCGCCAACGAGCACGTGTGACCCACACTTGACTCTGTAGCCATTTCACAGAACAGGGATGTTTATTGTTCTCCCACTGAGGCTGCACTTTCAGCTGTGAATGCTGCACTTGAAGTTTTCCAGGAATACAATTTGTCCTTGCACACTTGGCATTATAATTTTGGAAAAAGCAAAGATATCTTTCCAAAAGGCTCACTCTCAATGTGTGCCTGCTGAACCGTGGTTCTCCTCCCCCCCAGCACATGCTTAGCTCAGGAGTATTATGGAAATGAGGGCTTGTTTCCAAAATGGCATCCATCTGTTTTGCTGGTTTTTTTTTAGCTCAGACATTTTTAAAAAACAAACAAAACCCCAGCAGCCATCGGCGTTGTGATGGAGATGGTTTGCCAGCTGATGAGGTTAGGAAATGCTGCATGTTTGCACAGCACCTCACAAGTGGGGCTTTAAAGTCTTACCTTAGAAAGATTGGTGATAAGCAAGTAAAACAACAGAAGCTGAGTCCCAAAGAACTCCTAACTGCTTGTGGTATGTTTACTAAAATGTGCAAAAAATGGTTATTTTCTGTAAGTAATTTTAGAGGAAACCTCAACACAACTGGTCAGCCCATTTACACACACACTTGTGTATTTATACAGAGACCTGCAGGGGCCTTTCACGAGGGGAAATTTAAACAAAAGCCAACGAGAAACACTCCATATTCCCATCTGGAATAGCAGAATGGTTTGGGTTGGAAGGGGACCTTAAAGGGGAACCTTGAAGGGGATAATCTCGTTCCATCCCCATACTGTGGGCAGGGAAACCCTCCACAATCCCAGATTGCTCCAAACCCTATCCAACCTGGCCTTGGACACTTCCAGGGATGGGGCAACCTGTGCCAGGGCCTTCCCATCGTCACACTGAACAGCTTCCTCCTAATACCTAACCTAAACCTACTCTCTTTGCACTTGAACCCGTTCCCCCTTGTCCTGTCACTCCCGATTTTTGTCCCCATCCTGCCTGCGAGTTCCCTTCAGGTACCAGAAGGCCTCAATTAGGTCACCCCAAACCACCCTCCTTTCCAGGCTGAACAATCCCAACTGCCTCAGAATCTCTCGGAAGAATCCCGATTCTTCTCAAGGTGGGGAATCACACCGCCCCTCAGTCTCACTAGGAACCAAAGCCCAGCACAGCCAACACCTCAGCCGCCCCCCGGACCCGGACCCGAGCCGGCCGCAGGCCCCGGGGCGGAACACGGCGCTGCGCCGCGGCAGAGCCACGCAGCCACGGCGAGGGGCCGAGCGGGAGGGGGCGGCGGGGCCGGCCCGGCCTCACGGCGGTACCTGGAGCGGGTGCGCCTTGCTGAGGTGCATGTTGAGGGCCGGGCTGTTGGGCAGCACCTTCCCGCAGCCGGGCACGGTGCACAGGATGTTGGTCCGCACTTGGGACAGCTCTGTCACTGAGGGCCGCACCAGCTCCCCGGCGGGCGGCACGTCCCTCACGGGCGCGGGGGACCGCCCCAAGCCCCCGCCACGCCGCCCGGCCGCCGCCGCCATGTTGCTGTCAGCTGCTCGGGCCCCGCTCCCCTTCCGGGGCCGACGGCCAATCGGCGGCGGAGCTACTGAATATTTATGAGGCACGTGGCGCGTCTCCGCCCCCGCCCGCCAGCGCCCCGCGGCGGCGGCTGCGAGCGGTGCGGCCGGGCCCGCGGCACAGTGCGCGCACACACACGGCGCACCGGGAACACCGGGAACACCCACCGGGAACAGCGGGAACAGCGGGAACACCGGGAACACCGGGACAGGCGCGGGAACGGCGGGAGGCAGGCACCGATTTCCCTGCCGCTCATTGACAGGACACGAGGGAATGGCCTGGGCTCTGGCGGGAGGGCGAAGCTGGGTACCCGGAAAAGGCTCTTCATCCAGAGCGCAGTCGGACATTAGAACAGACCCCCCCGGGGAAGTGGGCACAGCAGCAGCCTGGCAGAGCTCCAGGAGCATCTGGAAAACGCTCTTAAGTCACAGGGTGGGATTGTTGGGGTGGCCTGTGCAGGGCCAGGAGCTGGACTTGACAAGCCTTGTGGGTCCCTTTCCAACTCAGAATATTCTAGGGTTTCCTGACATTGGAATCACCAACACAACACACAGAAGTTTTCCCCATATAGCTGGCCAAGTTAAGGGAAAAGATGAACACCAGTTTTTGGGTAAAAGCAATGCCATAGGTGTAGCTCCAGGATGTGTGTTCCTGCAGCCCCCTGTGCCTTCAGCTGTAGGCATTCTGCCGCTTGGGGTTAGCACAGAATAGCTGGGGTTGAAAGGGACCTTTAAACATCATCTAGTTCAACCCCAAACTTCCAAATTGCTGGAAGAGACCAGCTGGAATTGGGAAGACAAGATTGGTCTCCATATTCCTCCTTGTCCTTACCTCCTCCATGGGGAGACCTGTTCAGCAAGAAGGAACTCCAGAGCTGCAGATGTTTCCTGACAAATTAATAAATACACACCTCCTTGCCTGGAAATGCTGCATCATTCCTGGAGTATCCCTGCTTACAGGAAGTCAGAGATAAAAACACCTCTGAAAATCAGAGATACTAAAAAGAGGATGTTGAAAAGGGGATATAGGCAGCCTTTCCCAGAAACAAGAGGCAGTAGGCCAGGTACTCAGAGTGTTTTAGAGCACTTGGGAACTTTACCTTTGTGGCAAAACACTGCCCTCTCAGGCATTTAGGTTATTTTGGAGAGCACATTATGAAGAACAAGTTGCACTTAATGAAATATATGCTGGAATCTTAATGGATCTGAATCCTGAAAGTGTGGTGAAATGTGTAAAGAGCCAGCTCTTAATGTCTATCACACCAAACCTGGAATTCTGCCACATTATGTTAAGTACTTTGTCAAATCAACATATAAATCACACAGGTGGAATTCCTAAAATCCATACCACTAGCAGATAGTCCTAAACCTGTTTTCATGTGTGAATTATAGAGATGCTGAAAATCATACCAAAAATCTGTATATGATAAGTAATGTTTTCAAGTCAGGCCAAACAAACTTTTACTAGAAGACTTAATTTACACATTTATTTACAGTCTGAAAACAAAAACATGCCCACACAACCTCTGGAAATATGGCTGCTTCTGCACACTGAGATATTGCAAGTATATTGGAATTCTACATACACCAAGTACACACAAAACAATCCAGATAACAGAATTAAAAGTAAAAACTTGTACATTTTAAATGAATCTTCAGATCAAATCAATCTCTAAAAACAAAGCAGGAAATATCTATACAATAGCCAATGTTTACAAGCTCTGAAGAATTCCATTGCAAAGCTGTTTGCATTAGTAACTGTTGCCATCTTGATTCCATATTCTTTGTTCCTAAGCAAAAATCCAGTGGCAACAGGCAAGGATTTCAGAAGTATTGAATATTGAGATATTCTAAAACATGTAACTTCCTCAAAAGAAAATATTGTCTCTTCCATTGTATTCTTCCAAGACAAAATTTTGTAAGACATTAATAGCAACAGGCAGATTTTCAAGTATTTCTTACTGGCTGTTGCACTTGGTGAGAAATACTTTGGAAGCTGAATTCATTAATACCTCTTAAAACTAAATGGAAGCTTTGTACAGACATATGGATTCCAAAAGTCCATTGTCCCCCATGCCCTAAAATAGTCTTAGAATACAATTTATCTACTTAGAGAAAAATATGCCTGACCTGCAGACCTGGAGCCCCACCCATTTGAAAGGGATTGTTCCCATGTTCCAAACTGGGCAGGTGTTCTGTCCAAAATATGAAAAGCCACCTGGAATATTGCAGCCAATCTACAGCTATAATAGCTACAGCTATAATTGTGTCTTTATTAACTTCACAAATACTATTAAAATACAGTTAACAGCAGTCATCACATTTAAATTTAAGATAACTATCATCTCTGCTTTAATTTTGCAACTAGCTTTTTTATTAGTTAAGGCTAACTTTGTTAAAGATAACTGTGGAAAAATAATTCAAGCAGAGCCATAATTTGGAAAAAAACTTTAAGGTATTTAAGAGAGAATAACTTATTTTTAAAATTCTTATGGTGATTTAGATTAATACCAGTAATAAATGAGTTGTGTATTTCTCTATGAATCAGTTTTAAATTAAGGGCTTACAAAACTTTCTGGATATAAACCTTTTTTCTCTTTAATTTTAAAATAATTCCTAGCTTTATGTGGTATGCATGTTAGGAGTGGTGAAAGTGGTGCATCAGCCATACCTGGGGGGAGAGAGAGACACAGATAATTGCAGTTGTGCTCAACTACTACTACCTTTAATAACTGTTAATAAAACTGAAACACAAAATGAAACCACTAAAACCACAGCTTGAGTATCCATGTACAAACCAGTAATTCCAAGAATAAATTGTTATATATTTAGACATAAGTTTTTAAAGTGGTAACATTTTTATTCTACTGTATTTATTTTTCTAAACCAACTATGAAGTTGCTCCCTTATGCAAGATACAAGCAGAATGTAAGATGATAAAAATATTTAAAACTCTGAAATTTCTATCCATTTTACAGAGGTGGAACTCTTACCTGCTGGTGCCAAGGATTTCAGTGATTCTAAAAGATGTGGACTAGAAAACTTGACCAAACATCTGAATGGTTCTTTTTTATGCAAAACATCCATTTTAGGATCACTTTTAAAACTTGTCTCAAGCTGTTAACACAAAATATAACCAGTGAGTATAAGCAATGAATATATTTTATTCATGTGTTATTACATATTACATTTAAACATTTAATAAGACTGTTTCCAATTTGTAATGATAACATGATTCCAGCTGGAAGAATGTTGTAGTAAAATCTGAGAGTGCCACCATGTGGCAGAGTTTTCTGCTGAAAGCAAGAGGCAGCTTGTTCAGCAATACTGTAAAACATTAGGTATTTCTTAGAATTTTCAATTTATCTTTTCATGCAAAAAAACCCTGTGCATCACTTAGAAGTCAGTTATGGTGTCATACATAGCATAAGTTTTGTATGTACTTAAAAAAACCCTTATTTCTCATGCTCCAACACACTGCTAGTCTAAATCTACCTTTATTACAAAAACTGGTTGAAATGCTGAGTTCACAAGGCTGAAAGACTGAAACAAGATCTAAAACTCTGACCAAATTTCAATCTGTTTCTCACAGAGACATTTAACACATTTTTTTTTTAAATGTCCTCCCTAAAGTTTAAAAAACCCTACAGTATTTCTTACATTTGAAATTTAATCAAACTACCACTACATTTAACTTAGAAAACTCCAAATCAAATTGGTTGCTTTTCCTACCTTGTATTGTGCAAATTCAAGTTTTGGTTGGGGACCAGTACCAAAAACTTCCTGATTCAGTCTGTGGATCCTTTCTTTCTCACTTCTGTTTTCTTGAACTATCCTTTTATCTGCTGCAGGGAAAAAGAGCAGGAAAAAGAAAACAAAAAGACAACATTGTCAGCTCCTGCAATCCTGTTTTTCTGATCTGATTATTCCAATGAAAATTTGTAAACAATAGTTTTAATTAATTCATTGCACTCTTTTTTTGGATAAGGTAGTTGTCTCTATCATTTATTTATATTTTCAGTTCCATACCAAGAGAAATACACAAGCTAATGGGAGATGCTGGGCATTGAGTGGATTTGGTTTCTATGTCCAGTACCATTCACGGGAAATACTGACCTCTCCCAGTGCCGGTTGGTATTAAGGCACCAGGGATGGATAAACATAATGGGAATGGAGCAGATGTATATTTGCTTTTATCAATCTCATTTCACAAGCCAATAGGAATGACATTTAAACTGCCTTTACATTTCAAATATACATACCATTTTCTGGTTCCACATCCTCTCCTTGCAGAGGTTTTGCAGTATGAGTTTGGAAGTTCTAAATGGAGAGAGAGGAAAAAATTATTTTACTTCAGTTCTACTTTTAGAACCTCTAGCTGGAAAGAACTTTAATATATTTTCTTTTCTTTCTCATTCTGGAAGAGTGATCTTCCAAATTTTGACCATTACTAGAAGTCTGGAAGTCATCCTAATTTTGAAAAAAAATGCCTGTCTTAGGATATTTGCGAACATTTTCCTATTTACAAGTTTTGCATGGATGAGCAGACTGAGCACCCATTCCAACAGCCTTCAACTCATGGTTCTAGGAAGCGTAATGAAAGGGTGCAAAGAAGCTTAGGACTGAATTATTAATAAAATTTTTAGTCTGAGTTTAGCCATCAGGAATTACAATAATGGAGTATATGGGATACCAAATAATTTCATCCCCATTGCAATGTTACCTTCATGAAAGGCTGTCGACCTCAGTAGTTCAATATTATTTTAACTTGATGGTCTCTTGGAAAAGGTGAATTTTCCCCCATGCTAGGGGGTGACAACTAGGCCTGAAACAAAAAGCAAGACTTAGGATTTACTTGTGAAGTTGCTCACCTGACTATATCTTTTAAACACAATATCTTTAAGGGAGTTTAAACAATGACTTCGAAGCTCCATTTCACGGATGTCATGGTAATTGGTAGCACCAATCAGGGCCTTCAAATAAAA